TCATTTTTCGGCCAAAATTGAAAAAAATTGCAAGGGGTTAGCCTTACTTTTTGATCAAATTTGGCCAAAAATTGACTTTTCTCCAAACAACTCAGAAATGTCTTTGTGTGCAAAAGAAACATCAACCGATCTTCAAACAGTTAACATATTGAAGATTTGGACAAAAATCACCGAGTTATTGAGAAAAATATTAATAATTTTTACTAATTTTGACCGAAATTATCGACGCTACTTTTCCTTAAAACGCCAAATCTGTTTGAAATTCCATTTCGAATGTGCTCTAGGGACCCTCAGGCATCTTCCCTGCAAGTTTCAAGGAATTTCATTTTTCGGCCAAAATTGAAAAAAATTGCAAGGGGTTAGCCTTACTTTTTGATCAAATTTGGCCAAAAATTGACTTTTCTCCAAACAACTCAGGAATGTCTTTGGATGCAAGAGAAACATCAACCGCTCTTCAAACAGTTAACATATTGAAGATTTGGACAAAAATCACCGACTTATTGAGAAAAATATTAATAATTTTCACTTATTTTGACCGAAATTATCGACGCTACTTTTCCTTAAAACGCCAAATCTGTTTGAAATTCTAGTTCGAATGTGCTCTAGGGACCCTCAGGCATCTTCCCTGCAAGTTTCAAGCAATTTCATTTTTCGGCCAAAATTGAAAAAATTGCAAAGGGTTAGCCTTACTTTTTGATCAGTTTTGGCCAAAAATTGACTTTTCTCCAAAACAACTCAGAAATGTCTTGGGAGGCAAGAGAAACGTCAACCGACCTTCAAACAGTTAACATATTGAACATTTGGACAAAAATCACCGACTTATTGAGAAAAATATTAATAATTTTCGCTAATTTTGACCGAAATTATCGACGCTACTTTTCCTTAAAACGCCAAATCTGTTAAAAATTCTAGTTCGAATGTGCTCTAGGGACCCACAGGCATCTTCCCTGTAAGTTTCAAGGAATTTCATTTTTCGGCTAAAATTGAAAAAATTGCAAGGGGTTAGCCTTACTTTTTGATCAAATTTGGTCCAAAATTGACTTTTTTCCAAACAACTCAGAAATGTCTTCGGATGCAAGAGAAACATCAACCGACCTTCAAACAGTTAACATATTGAAGATTTGGACAAAAATCACCGACTTATTGAGAAAAATATTAATAATGTTCACTAATTTTGACCGAAATTATCGACGGTACTTTTCCTTAAAACGCCAAATCTATTTAAAATTCTAGTTCGAATGTGCTCTAGGGACCCTCAGTCATCTTCCCTGCAAGTTTCAAGGAATTTCATTTTCCCGCCAAAATAGAAAAAATTTGCAAGGGGTTAGCCTTATTTTTTGATCAAATTTGGCCAAAAATTGACTTTTCTCCAAACAACTCAGGAATGTCTTTGGATGCAAGAGAAACATTAACCGAACTTCAAACAGTTAACATATTGAAGATTTGGACAAAAATCACCGACTTATTGAGAAAAATATTAATAATTTTTACTAATTTTGAGCGAAATTATCGACGCTACTTTTCCTTAAAACGCCAAATCTGTTTGAAATTCTATTTAGCATGTGCTCTAGAGACCCTCAGGCATCTACCCTGCAAGTTTCAAGGAGTTTCATTTTTCCGCCAAAATTGAAAAAAATTGCAAAGGGTTAGCCTTACTTTTTGATCAAATTTGGCCAAAAATTGACTTTTCTCCAAACAACTCAGAAATGTCTTTGGATGGAAGAGAAACATCAACCGACCTTCAAACAGTTAACATATTGAAGATTTGGACAAAAATCACCGACTTATTGAGAAAAATATTAATACTTTTCAATAATTTTGACCAAAATAATCGACGCTACTTTTCCTTAAAACGCCAAATCTGTTCGAAATTCTAGTTCGTATGTGCTCTAGGGACCCTCAGTCATCTTCCCTGCAAGTTTCCGCCAAAATTGGAAAAAATTGCAAGGGGTTAGCCTTACTTTTTGATCAAATTTTGGCCCAAAATTGACTTTTCTCCAAACAACACAGAAATGTCTTTGGATGCAAGAGAAACATCAACCGACCTTCAAACAGTTAACATATTGAAGATTTGGACAAAAATCACCGACTTATTGAGAAAAATATTAATAATTTTCACTAATTTTGACCGAAATTATCGACGCTACTTTTCCTTAAAACGCCAAATCTGTTTGAAATTCTAGTTCGAATGTGCTCTAAGGACCCTCAGGCATCTTCCCTGCAAGTTTCAAGGAATTTCATTTTTCGGCCATAATTGAAAAAATTGCAAAGGGTTAGCCTTACTTTTTGATCGATTTTGGCCAAAAATTGACTTTTCTCCAAACAACTCAGAAATGTCTTGGGAGGCAAGAGAAACGTCAACCGACCTTCAAACAGTTAACATATTGAAGATTTGGACAAAAATCACCGACTTATTGAGAAAAATATTAATAATTTTCAATAATTTTGACCGAAATTATCGACGGTACTTTTCCTTAAAACGCCAAATCTATTTAAAATTCTAGTTCGAATGTGCTCTAGGGACCCTCAGGCATCTTCCCTGCAAGTTTCAAGCAATTTCATTTTCGGCCAAAATTGAAAAAAATGCCAAGGGGTTAGCCTTACTTTTTGATCAAATTTGGCCAAAAATTGACTTTTCTCCAAACAACTCAGAAATGTCTTTGGAGGCAAGAGAAACATCAACCGACCTTCAAATAGTTAACATATTGAAGATTTGGACAAAAAATCACCGACTTATTGAGAAAAGAAATTAATACTTTTCACTAATTTTGACCAAATTAATCGACGCTACTTTTCCTTAAAACGCCAAATCTGTTTAAAATTCTAGTTCGATTGTGCTCTAGGGACCCTCAGGCATCTTCCCTGCAAGTTTCAAGCAATTTCTTTTTTCGGCCAAAATTGAAAAAAATTGCAAAGGGTTAGCCTTACTTTTTGATCAAATTTGCCAAAAATGGACTTTTCTCCAAACAACTCAGAAATGTCTTTGGATGCAAGAGAAACATCAACTGACCTTCAAACAGTTAATATATTGAAGATTTTCGAAAAAAATCTTCGACTTATTGGGAAAAATATTAATAATTTTCACTAATTTTGACCGAAATTATCGACTCTAATTTTCTTTAAACCGCCAAATATGTCCATCATTCCAATTCGAATGTGCTCTAGGGACCGTCAGGCGCCTTCCCTGCAAGTTTGAAGCAATTTCATTTTCGGGCAAAATTAAAAAAATTGCAAGAGGTTAGCCTTACTTTTTGATCAAATTTGGCCAAAAATGGACTTTTCTCCAAACAAATCAGAAATGTCTTTGGAGGCAAGAGAAACATCAACCGATCTTAAAACAGTTAACATATTGAAGATTTGGACAAAAATCACCGACTTATTGCGAAAAATATTAATAATGTTTACTAATTTTGACCGAAATTATCGACGCTCCTTTTTCTTAAAACGCCAAATCATTTCAAAATTGCATTTCGAATGTGCTCTAGAGACCCTCAGGCATCTTCCGTGCAAGTTTCAAGCAATTTCATTTTTCGGCCAAAATTGAAAAAATTGCCTTACTTTTTGATCAAATTTGCCAAAAATTGACTTTGCACGAAATTTCAATTTAATCCATTTTGTATTTCCTGAGTAGTTCATCGGAAACGAGTTTGTTCTTTTTGTTCAGTTGTGCAGCATCCGTGTTGATGCGTTGTTGAGACCACTATTTATGTGGCGCGTCCTCTATTGAACAAAACTTAAAATATTCTACGGCGTGCGGATGTATGTCTTGGCGGTGTGGCAGGTAATTCTGTCCCCCCCCCTGGTAAATGTGTCCCCCCGGACAAATTTACCGGTTTGTGACCCGGTAAATCTGTCTGGGGGGACACATTTACCGAGGTAGATCTGTCCCCCTCCCTGGTAAATATGTCCCCCTGCCCAACGTTGAAAGTGTCCCCCTGGTAAATGTGTCCCCGTGCAAGTATCACCCATGCGATGGTACGAGTCGTGTTCGTGAGCACGCATTGCCGCAAGTACATACTGCAAGATTTGTGGCAGCGTTTATCGCATATGTGTACATAATGTGTACCCCGCTACACAAAGGAAATTCATCCAATAGGAAATTTCGTTACGCGCTACGATGGGAACGCCGACCAATCCAAGTAGGCGTTATATCAATGAGGCGTCCACCGTAGAATAGGGCTACACCGTACTCCATATCGATCGAAACATTGTGTTCACATTTCACATCTAAGAAAGAGACCAAAAAGTTATTTTTTTTCATCTTCATGAAGGGCAGACTAAAGAGTAAAAAATGTATACCTTGTAGAGTGAATTCATGAAAACAATATAGAGAACTGGCCTTCTGCGTTGCAAAACTAGGGGAACAAAAAAAACCTGGAGGGGACAGAATTACCTGAAGGGGGGCAGAATTAACGGGCCGGGGAGGACACTTTTACCTAGGTAATTCTGTCCCCCCGGACACTTTTAACGGGGGACAGAATTACCGTCCACACCGGCACCAAGCTTTGGTCCGCTGCTGGTCCCCGGCCCGATGCTGGGGACATCCACGGTGTTGCTGGTGTCAGGGGGCTTGCTCCATGGGGCGTCGCGCACCACGAAGCCCGGGTTGTCCGCCTTGGGCTGATGGGATTCGCCGTGGCGGCTGGGAGGCTTGGTGTTCTGCTGCAACTCTACACTCTCGTCCATCTCTCGCAGCTAAGGGTGAAATAAGAGAAGAAAAAGCATGATGATGACCGATTTGGATGACAGACGCCAAAAACGTGCACTGGTGCAGAAATGAATAACGACGTTTACCATTGCGGGACCAAACACATAAAGGTTTTGAATTACGGAACATGTTATTTGTTCGAAATGGTGCCATGACAGTTGCGCAACTGTCAAGACCATCTGGATGATTTGCCGATTTGCCAGCTCTTGAAGTGGCATTGCGCCCTCGCGCGGCCAAGTTAGTCGTTAATTATTGCTAACGGGAGTGTACTTACACGCTTCCTCATGTCGTGTCGTCTCGTCGTGTACGGGTTGTGTGTGCTCTCACCAGTGGGTGACATGCCTCATCACGCAGCATCCCGGATGCAACCTGGCCTGAGTGAGATGGCATGACCAACATCTCAGGCGTGTACAGACACTTATCCACGCTCATCCTAAACCACACGACGAGCATATGCAACCATTGTAAAAGCTTACCTACTCTGCGTGTCAATCCCGTGCGGGTCGTAAAAGCGGGCACCGCGTGCCAGCGCCAAAACCGACCGGGGAAACGACGCGTTTGACGGTTGCCTACACCAGCTCACGATGCGCCAGCCGGTGAAGTCGCTACTGCGAAGCCTGGCTCGCACCAAGACTCTAGACCACGAGAGCCTGGTGACCACGGAGCTGTCGAGATGTTTGGGCGTGGCCGACCTGACTGCCATCGGTGTAGGCGGTACCTTGGGGGCGGGTATCTACGTGTTAGCTGGGGAGGTGGCGAGGGAAGAGGCGGGGCCTGCTATCGTGCTGTCGTTCCTCATAGCCGCTGTGGTTTCCATGTTGTCAGGTAAACATTCATATACATTATTTTGAAATCAAGAAAATCCTTGCCTCAATTGTACAATGTAACATTAACACAAATCTGGGCGTGGCTTATCCTAGTCAGCGGAGCTTAGGAGGGGTGGGGTTCACTTTTGCAAGAGACGGGAAGACTTTTATTTGGAGTATGGAAAGCTAAACCAATTGTCAGAGAAGGGGTTTGCCCCGGTGTTTCTGGCAGTGGCTGCAATATGCGCCGCAGCACCTTGTCAACCCTCATAAGGTGCTACATAATGGGTCTCATATTTCTGATATACTTTATTTACCTTTCTTTAATAATAGACATAATAACCAGCGCCTTGAGTACCTAATTGTTGGTAGATACGTGCGCTATATAAGACTCCGTTATTATTATTCAGGAATGAATAGTAACTATTGATTTTCAGGGTGACGTTACGAAGAAAAAAATTAACAAGTGTGCAAAAGCTCAGCCCAAAGTACGCTCTTAACCTGCAGTCAGAGGGAATGTCATATTTATACGTAGCCTATCACCCACCATTAGACCTATATTATGTAAATGCAGAATAAAGGCTGCTGCAATCTGATGGTCTTTTTCAATCACTGAAAAAGTGGGAATATTATGTTTTGCCGGGCAGCATTCTCGATGAAATTTCTCTTCAACTCTTCCCATCGTTCGGACACAGCCTTGAGTAGTTGAAGGCCTATGGGTTTCCTCCTTGTAAATATTCATAATTTGCTAAGTGGGAACATTCTACTTCGTACATGTAAATATTATATTTTCTCTGGGACTTCGCTATAGTCTCAGACAGGCCTGAGGGTTTTCCATTTATTCATGACCAAGTTCATGATAAAGATAACAGCAAGTTTAAGCATTCGGAAATTGTCCAATAAACTTAATGTAGGCCTATTTGCGACACAAAGCCAAATGTGTTGTTCACATATTTTTCTTGACATGCCCGAGGGCACTTCCTGCAAAATCTGCATGAAGTGGTTGCAATATGTTCTGACACATACTCAGCGGTATGACATTTGCCCAGACCCACTGATACGTATGATAGCATCTAGCAGGTTGACCCAAAGTAGGTCTGCCCACCTCATAATGAATCTCAGGATTTTTATGTATGATTAAAATCCATATATTTTGCTGACTTTTTTTCCGTCTTTGGGGGAAATTAAATAAGGAAATGTCTGATAAACCAGCTTCATTCACACATAGGTACTGTGTGAACAACACCTTCAGGCTTTGCATGTAAAGCCTCGCTTTGAATCAATATGGCGATTCCGCGCAACTGAGATTCTGTGACATTAAAGTTCATCAAGCGAAAGTCAAAAATCAGCACAAGTTGTAATGGAAATCCGTTCTTAGCGATTAACTGCTCACACGCCTCCACGTTTAAAACGAGGCCCTGGAACTTCAAGCCCATACAAGTTGTACAAATTGCCCCATTTTGACATTTAAAGTTTGATACAGAAAGGACATATAACAGGCATAAACACGTCCTTGTCCCCATTAAAATGTCGTCGAGATTGTTATGAGTAGCTAACTGCTTCCATAAGTTAGTACACTACATTTGAAAGGGTATATGGCAGCAACATTTACAATGATTTAGTTCACGTAAAGGAAGCTAAGAATATATTTTAAGTTAGTTACATAATCAGCCCAGCCTCAGTAAATTTAGTTATCTGAAACGTAAATAGCACGGAGTCATGAAGAGGACCGATGCCCGCTCGAGAGCTTTCCTTAAACCACCATGAGTACACTGTGCGTGTTATCCTTAGCGTACACTTAAGAAATATCGGCTGTCTTACCGTATATTTGCCTCCGGTAGTCCGCGTCTGTGGGTGTTTGCATTCGATTTGTGCAAATCTTGGCCCGGCGCAAGATAAAAATAGCTTCGTTCCCCTCAGTAATATGCAAACAAAATTCTTTATGACTTTTTTTTCAACAAATCTGCTTTTGGAAAAGGCCTGTTACAATTTTAGGAAATACAGATTATCTACATGTATATGCTAATATTTGTTTTAACTTTCACGAAATTATTTAGTGGATACATGCACAATAAAGGGTATTGCTGAAAAAATAATGCATCGGTAGTCCGGTGTTTTTTTTACTTTGGTAATAGGAATATTTCATCGAAATCTCTGAATTTCCGCTAGTTGGTGTGCTTTCTTTGTAATTTCAGGGACCGATTGTCTATCTAATTGCATTTCTGCGACACCTCGTTCCCACACAGTCGGATTATACATGTATAATACGAAGGCACCGTCCTGTAAGTCGTAAAATCGCGCTGGGAAAGAAGTTACTTCGTGCAGGTTCATGACGTCAGCCATTTTGAAAACAAAACGGCGTCTGAAGCAGTTTTAAAGGCATTTTATGGTGGCTGTAAATAGTGTAAAGCTCAATGACAGATAGTCCTGCATGATGATTAAGTTAAATGCTTTTACACATTTCGTGACATCAACTGAATTCTTCAGTGCTACGTGATTGTGAGTCATGCAGACATACAGTGCCAAAAACAAAGCATTAATCACTACGTTGTACCAATGTCTAAGCAGTCACCAATATTATAGAACATGAATAAACTGCATTCAGTTGTACGTTACCTATGAGTATAATTACCCTGTGCTCATTAACATGGACAACTTCAACGACAATCAATAATTCTTTACATTTTCTGCCCATTCGGGTCATGCTTTCAGCCTTTTTTCTTTAGCTTTGAGTTCTCTCATTAATCTGTAGCCGACTTGACGGATCGTTATTTGCGGAAATACACACATTCTGCGCGCCCTTCCACCAATTAAACATTCAGCGCATGTCTCCGGTTCCCGCGCTGTTTTACAGCCTCCCTAATTAGGACCCCAAAACAACGCCTGGAGATTATTTTTTTGCTTGAAAACGCCGGAAAAAAGGGCCCTCGACTCAAGACGTCGCGGCGTCTGAACTCTTAGAGGAAGTCGCTGCTGATCCGGTCGGCCATATTCTGTTTTACCCAGAGGCCTTGAACAAGTGTTTTTAAGGCAGACGGGGCTTAATCATGAGTGATATTTTAAGGGATAAGATTTGAGAGAGCTTCGATGGAAGAGTAGGTGAAGATTAAGAACGATTGTTGCTTGAAGCTGTTTGTCTTTGAATTTCAGTAAAATGTTGTGAACATTTCTCAGTTCTGTTTTATACGAACAAAAAAAGTGATTTTCTTTCATGGTATTTTAACCGTTTTTGTTCAGTTGCTCGTCTCAGTTCGACGGAAAATCTGTGATGTGTGCCTATTGAGATGTTTTATGCCTTTTTAGTCCTAAATTTATCGTTAAGGAGCGGGATTATCTCCCACATAGAAATGTACAACTTGTTTTTCGAATGAAGAAATCGTAGTCTGATTTTTGCCGGTCAACTGAAGCCTTATTCTGGACATAATAAGCATGAATATTTCATGTGTCCCGGCAGTGCACATTATCTAAAATTTGTAACGGCGTTGATATCTCGATAATTGATGATAATATAACCACCATGCTGGCTTGCTGGGGCAAATCCAGACGAAATCTCTGATATTAATCTCGTGAGGCGCTCCATGCCACCTGCAACACACGCGCGGGTACGACCATTCTCGGGCTTTGGAGCAGGCTTCATAGGGACTGAGAGCAAGTTATTATTTAGCAGCCAGATATAGTCAATTATATCACGTGACTGAAATTATTCACGAGAGATAACTTTCAGAGGTTTTGATTTCGGAAGAAAATCAAGGGCGACTCTTTGGGCTAGTGGTTACAGCTGGTGGTTTTTTTTTGATAAATAAAAGTCGTTGGTTCGAATCCCCAAGTTTTTTTTTAAATGCAATAAATTCCACCTTCTCCTACTGGTAGTCTATGACAGTCTATGTAGATTAGAGGATTAATTATTCAAAACAAGAATGCGTCTTGAAGCTTGATCTCCAGATTCTGACCATTCAGCGGGCGCCTTCTATCAGGCCTTAGGTAACCCGTTGTTGTATTATAAAAAAACAAACAACGTGGCAGCTAATTGACCAATCGAAAGCTTAAGCCGACTTCTGCTCGAAATGACGTCATAATTTCTAAAGTCGACCCCGATTGGCTGACGCGCGGGGTCGCATATGATTTGTATGCACACATTATATCAGACGTTGTTGTGGAGCGTGCGGGCTCTGTTGAACAAAGGATAATACTCAGACTGAGGCTCTGGATGATCTTGAATGAAAGTTAAGTCCGAAAATCATTTCTTTTAACAACTGACACATTGGCGTTAGGGTCAAAGACTGTACTTGGTTGTAGAAAAAAAATTGCGGGCTTTCCCCTGATCGAAAGCCCCGTGTGCCCCCCCCCCCCCGATCTGGAACCCAATCCACCCGTTCCCCGAAGCTAATCAGCTTATAATACTCCGAACATCCTTCTCGCGTGCTCGGGACCTCTTCTAATCAACCAGAGATGTAAGATGACACGCAATGAGGCTATGCATCTCTCCAGTGAAAAAAACACTCCTTACCCTCCCCAAAAGAGCGAGAAATCAGTAAATTCAATTTATAACAACATTTATTTTCCCCGTTGTATCAGTATCAGTAAAAAAAATATCTAAGAATGACAACAATTATTGAGACATCATACTAAAAAAAAAAAATCGAGCTTGTTGTGAAGGAGGTGCATACCAAACTCGTCCCCATTGAGTGCTTACTTTATTTCCACCCTCGTTTCCAATAGTGAGCCCTGGATAGGAAACTTTCTTCCTGTATCCTGATTCGATACCGCAATTTGCTAGTAATGGATTTATATCATGTAGTTGGTGTCGTTATTTCCAACGTACATTACGTGTTTTCACGATCATTGTAATTATTATAACGTCCACGCCTTCTCAAAAATACTCCTTTCCTTTCCAGTTTGCTCATATTAATATAAATTGTGATACTGCATATTGGCGGGATATGATTGTTACATTTTAACTTCCAAAAAAAATCGTGTTTTCATAACTCACGGCGCGACGAATTGATACTGTTTTTACCC